CTACCAAGTTCATTCAGAAAGGATTGAATCAATTCAAAAACAATTCTTGCTTTTTGCATTGCGTAATTTTAACTGGGATTCAGATTACAATCTCCCCCCTTACACAAGTCGTCTAAAGCTCATAAATTTGCCTACACTCGCAAGTCGTAGAGAAATGCTGGGTATAATATTTATCGTAAAATTAATGACAGGCTTGATTAATAGCCCGGCCCTCCTGGCTAAGGTTAATTTTAATGTTCCTTCTCGAGTGTCAAGACACTTTCGACCTCTATTTTTAAAGCCATGCAAAACTAATTTTGAACTAAACGAGTCATTCCGTGGTTTATGTCAAGATTTTAACTATCATTCCAGCACGTTTGACGTATCGGACTCGATTTTTACTATAAAGAAAACTATTATTTCCACTCTCAATAATTGAAATACTATCTTTAGCATATCCAATCAGCTGATGAATTTTATTCTGTAGCTGAATAGTTTTAGATCTCGACACTTAACAAACTCCTGTTTCCACTACTCGGCACCAAAAAACTAAAAAAAAACAAGTAAGAAAGTCTAAGTTCGGGCGGAGCCGAACATTAAATACCCGGCGGAATTATTAAATATATGTTTTCCACCTTTCCGAAAGCTACCGCTACACGATAAGCCGGGGTGTATAAATTTTAAGTAAATCAGCGTCCTTAAATTTCGAAATATTGCAGTTTCAAGCATTTCTGAAATTTACCGTTATATGAGAAGCGGCCGTTATTTTAGCCCGATTTCAATAATTTTCAACGCTTTGCTTTTATCTGGCAAGCACAATAATCATACCGAGTTTGGTACAAATTGCTAGAACGGTTAGCGAGATACATATATGTGATCATAAGTAGGCGGTGCCACGCCCATTTTCCAAAATTGTATCATAAGCGTATTTCTTGGTAAAAAATTGTTGCAACCATCAATTTTGAATAAATTAGCTTTAATATTTACTGATTTATCGAGGATTTCGTATTTTTCTAAATTACCGTTATATGGGATGTGGGCGTGGTTATTGTCCGATTTTAAAAATTTTCGGCCATTTGGTATGCTGTAGCAGGACCAACAACTGTGCCAAGTTTGGAAGAAATTGGTGCAGCGGTTACCAAGATATACACATGTAACCATAAGTGGGCGTGGCAACGCCCATTTGCCAAAATTTTTTAATATATATATTTTTCGTCTAAAACTCATTGTAAATATCAATTTTTAGTGAATTATCTTCAGTAGTTACTAAAATATCGCACTTTTCGTATTTCTGAAAATTACCGTTATATGGGATGTAGGCGTGGTTATTGTCCGATTTCGCCCATTTTCAATACCATCCGTCCTATGCCCAAAAGAAGTCCACGTACCAAGTTTCGTTAAGATATCTCAATTTTTACTCGAGTTATCGTGTGCACAGACGGACGGACGGACGGACGGACGGACGGACGGACGGACGGACGGACAGACAGTCACCGCTTAATCGATTTCTCTTTTCATTCTGATCATTTATGTATACATTTGTCTATATCTATCTGCATACATCGATAGAGGAGTTACATACGTATATAAAAAATCGCATCTAAACAATCAGAGGTATGGAAGATATACTTTATATGACACCAATCTAAGTGATTTTCACCGCTATGTGATCGGTATGTAAACCGGTAACACAATTTATTGGGTTTAGCTTCGTACATAAAGGAGATATATGGCAAAAACTGGTATCTGAACAATCAGTGCTATAGGAGATAAAGCTTATACAGCATAGATTTTGACGATTTTCTCAGTAGACTTTGTATTATTTATTTATAAAATATCTTACGAAATTTATCGGTTTTAGCTGTTCAAATAAAGGAGTTTTACAGTAAAATCCCATATCTGAACAATCAGATATATGGAAGATATATGTTGTAGTCATCCGATCCTTGTTATTTTCACTGTAAGTATTCTGTTGATGTTGAGTGAAAATGGTGCGAAATTTCATGTTCCTAGCTCCATAAATGGAGGAGTTATGATAAAAGACCTCATATCTGAACAATCATTTGTATGGGGGCTGCAGGTTATAGTGACCCGATCTTCGTTATTTTCACTGTAAGTCTTTTGCTGATAATGACTGAAAGCAGCGCGAAATTTCATGGTCCTAGCTACATAAATGGATGAATTATAACGAAAAATCTCATATCTGAACAATCAGTTGTATGGGAGCTATAGGTTATAGTTGTCCGATCTTTTTAATTTTCACTGTAAGCATTCTGTTGATAATGGGTGCAAGTGCTGCGAAATTTCTTGTTCGTAGCTGCATAAATGGAGAAGTTATAACGAAAAATCTCATATCTGAACAATCAGTTGTATGGGAGCTATAGGTTATAGTTATCCGATTCTTCCGGTTCCGACAAATGATTAATACATTATAAAAATACACCCACCTACCAAATTTGATCCGGGTATCTCGAAAACTGAGAGACTAGATTGCATACAAACAGACAGACAGACGGACAGACGGACATGGATAAATCAAATCAGCTCGACGTTCTGATCATATAAGTATACATTTTAATGGGTCTATCTCTTTTTGTTCTGGTACTTACAAATATCGGACCAAAGTTATAATACCATTTCATGCTCATGAAAGGTATAAAAAGGTTCCGTACGTCATGCGGACGTGTCGGTTGGGCGGGAATGGAGGGTAAAAGCCGTTGTTAATCCTTTGTATCCAGTTAATAATGAGGTAAGATATACATAACTGTTTATTTTAATAATTTCTTGCAAGGAAGTTCTTGTCGATGAGTTTAGGTAAGTTTCTAGAGACAGTTTTTGGTTCGAATTTGACCAATCCGTAAGGTAAAAAATTTTAAACACCGATCAGATGTTGCTGGTGGAATTCCAGTTGGGATGCGACATTAGTCGTGTGGATAATCCACTAGCTATCTGGACCACCTCAAAGGGCGAATATTTCCATGTTTATAAAGCGGCACTTAAACGTCTACCAATACTCACCACCTCTGCTCCAAGAAAAAACGTTCAAAAAGATGGTCCGTAATTACCAAATATCGATTCAAGAATTTTTTTTATAGATTTTCTGAAATTTTTTTATTGGTGAAAATTAAAATTTTTAAATTTTTTTTTTCAAAAATATCAATTTTTAAAAACTCTCACATCCATCTTTTTAATGCTGTATAACTGGCACAATTTTCAAAATGTTTAAACAATTTTAGTGTCTGTTTTTATTTTACCAAGCATTGCATTTCACTAAATTACAGATTATTCAAAAGACCACTTGTAAATCCTGATAGTCCTGGCGTATTCTCACCCTTATGTTTATATCTAATAATTAATACATTTTTAAGTCGAAAAAGTCAATTGTTCTTCGTCGATCGGTCGACTTTCTAGTAAAGTCGAACAACTCTTTGATGAGAGACAGACCAAACTTTAGTATGAAACCTAAACCTACGGATTTCACTTCGCCTTTGCTTATCAGCTGTTCACCTAGGTGCTTTTTGCGTTTGTGCAACAGTGCAACAATACTTCTAATTAATCTTAATAAATGTCTGGAAATCCTAAAATAAGTTCGACGTGACACAGCCTGTAACAAAATCCTTTGGACTATTCCAATCTAATAAGTATGGCTGCATACAGTTCCAAAAGCTGTTTTCGTTTTCATCAATTTACCACATGTATTCAATATGAGTAAGATAAGCGTTTAATAATAAAACATCTATTGCGGATATAAAAAATAATTTCCAGCAGTACGCGATCATAATGTTGTAATTATTGGCAGCACAGCAGACAATTCAATTTTTATCAGCTGTCGGCAAACTACCAGTATAAGTATGCGCATATTTACAGTGACTCGAACAAGTGTTCAAGTGTTGATTTTTTTTTAATATTCACAATGTTTTTCAAGTAAAGTTTCTTTTTTATTTTTCTCTAAAAATACTATCCAGGCTTTAACCAAAACCCCACACATATGTGCGTAAATCAAAATTTCATAGTTTATACAAAATTTAGGAAAATTCTGCAAATATTCATCAAAATTATTATATAATATTATTCAAAATTTTTAATCTATATTTTTAAAATATTTTTGTGAAAGTTGCAACGTGCTAAAAATCGCGTTAATTTTTAATATTTTTTTTTTGTGACGTACTTTCGCATTTTTGTTTTCAAATAGGCATGAATTTCTTGTGAATTAAATTGTGGAGACCGTTTGCAAAAAAAAATTTCAAAAAACTAACGCCGGTTTTTATAAATTTCACTTGCTATATAATTAAAAAAAAATAGCCAAATCCAAAAAAATTAATTAATAATCAACGCGATTTTGCCGGTTGAAGCTTACACTTTATTGATCGAAAATTGTATCGGCCATAAAACTGCATACCCAAAAATGTTTTATAGATTCTGATTAAAGTTTGAAGTTCTGATAAAAACTTGTTAAATTGCCTAAGTTTTTTTTTAAAGTTGGAGACTTTGATTTAAATGTTTTGGTAAACAAAAAAATTGAATATTAAAAAAATATACACACGGTCATTTGTTTGAGTCACTGTAAGTATGTGCGTAGAAGTAGTAATTACGTTAATGCCGCCGTTTTCACGATATGGAAATAGTTCTTCTACATCAAACCTTTTTTTTATGTATTGAATGATTTATTAAGAGTCGCAACTTAGTATAACAGAGCAGATAATTTGCGTACAATTGATAGTTTTGGCAGGACTAAAGAACCGAAGAGATTTAATGGTAGGTACTCGAGCTGCCGGCCTCCTTGTGTGATACATGTGAATGTATGTATATCAGCCACTTTCCTTTTTT